GGAAACCGGAGGAGGGATGGGATGGGGGGTGGGGGAGGGGGATCAGAGAGGCGGAGAGGGTGGAGGTTACAGCGGGGCACAGGAGAACATTACAGAGGGCGAGGATGGCTGCGGTGAAGGATGTTCGTGCCAAAAGGCGGCCCGGGGGAACGCTGTGGTTAATGGATGACTAAGACGGTGCAGGTTTGCTGTGGGCCATGCATCACGCCGACCGGCGCGCTTTCAGGAAGGTGCACAGCGATGCCGAGAGGCGGGGCCACGTCCCCGGGTCACAGCGTGTACACAGCGATGCCGAGAGGCGGGGCCACGTCCCCGGGTCACAGCGTGCGCACAGCGATGCCCAGGGGCGGGGCCACATCCCCGGGTCACAGCGTGCACACAGAGATGCTGAGGGGCGGGGCCACGTCCCCGGGTCACAGCGTGCGCACAGAGATGCCGAGAGGCGGGGCCACGTCTCCGGGTCACAGCGTGCGCACAGCGATGCCCAGGGGCGGGGCCACACAGCATACAGCAGACAAGCTCACAGGTGAACGCTCTCAGGGGCACTTTACTACGGTGACTCACCACACCATTTAAAACCAGTCATTTCTCCCCAGGGGGGCGGGGGGGGGTTGCATGTCTGCTACACTGGCTAACGTTAGTGAAGGTTGAGCAATGGCAGTGTTTACTGGCTCGTAGGGGGGGGTGCAGAACACTTCCCGAACTGTTTGTACCTATTTATAAGAAGATGCACTTAGAATTCATTTAGGTCCAGGGATAAAAACGAATAAGAAAATTCTATTTACAATAAGCTAAAATAATAAAGTCTTCGAACACACACAAACAGAGAAAATGTATACCTAAACCAACTGACCGATGATTCAAATCGGTCATATAACCTAATTTAGTGCATCTGGAATTAGTTCAATGATTTATGTGGTTATAGCTGGTAGTTATTTGTCATGACTACATATCTATATATTTACATTGAAATGAATACCGCTTATTGTAGGCTGTTCTCTTACTTGTGGAGCAGAGAGCTGGTAGACTGGTACTGCCCACAGTCAGCCTTGGCACCCAGTGCGGCTCAGTCTGGCGACCGGTGCGCTGCAGATGTCCAGTTAAAACCAGCAGGTGCGGTCAGACCACAGAGACACTTTATCTTTGAGTTTGTGTATAGATGCCTTTCGCAATACAGGAACTGTATGCAGACACATTTTAAGGGAAGCAAGTTGTTTTTGAAGGAAAAATTAAGGTATGGGTAAAAGAATCACTTTTGGGAGTCACGGAACATTCCGGAACGTGGGTCCGGTGTCCTCGGCGATTGGGAAAAAGGAAATCCCATCATGGTATGCCTCAGCTGATAAATCTGGATCAAACCATTAGTGTGGGGGTCAAGGAGGAGCCCACCTGAAACAGATGGGGGGGGGGGGGGCGATATTGTGGGGGCAGTCCAAAATAAAAGGCACACAGATGCTGGCCTTCTTCGTGGAGCTGTGGAGAGACACATGGGGCGGTAAACGCTTTTTAACACGGCTTTTGATCTCGTGAACTTAATTACCGTCCAGCAGGGTGCTATCTCTCCACATCTCCTCTGAAATTTGGCAACGTGCAAACCGCAGGGCAGCTTATCCCGCTGGAGGAAGGCCCGTGAGGAGCCAGAGCTTGGCCGCTTCAGCTGTGAAGGCGAGGCACTGACTTTCACATTGTGGTTTGAATGTGAGACTGAAAAAAATAAAACGGCTATCCATCATGCTGCAGCTTGCTCGCCTCAAAGGCTGAATTATTTCCTTTGCCGATAGCCGCACATAATTTGTGTCCTTGTATGAGTGCAGCTCAGCGTTCTTTAGGATGCATGGCTCAGCAGTAAGCATTCATAGCACCTACATAATCGATGTCACAGCTTTATATGCGACATACAAACGCTCATAAACACCTGCGTGAGGAGCCAGAGGTTGCTAAATAACACTTAGCTTATGCGAAGATGCCTGTCTTTCAAAGACACGTCCGAAAAGCACGTTCACAACTTCACAGATGCAGCCTATGAAGGTGCTATGAAGCCCCTGAGGTTTTATGAAGAAGCACACTCTTCTGTCCTGAGTCCTGGGGGTATTCCACAAAGCAGGATATCTTTATTAGCCAGATAACTTAAGCCAAATGTCAGGATTGTCCAATAGGAATGTCACTTTCCTTTCTTCCTGTTGGACAGTTATCACGTTTGGCTTAAGTTATCCAACTAACTGTGAAATCCCACTTTGTGGAATACCCCCCTGATCTCCAGCCCAAAGAGTCCACCCCATCACGCTACACCTTTATGAAGTTCTTAATTACAGCGTCGACACCAGCGTCACTCGAGAGACAAGTTTTGTCTCCGTCTGACAGCTAACAATGGTGGGAAGGAGCATCTGTGGGCTGATTGGACTAATGAACTTAATGAGTGCAATTTAGAAGGAGTTACTAAACACCTGCGGGGAATGGGAGAGATAGGCAGAGGCCCCAACTCTGTGATCAGTTAAGGCTTTGTGATGTAGAAGATGGCCACATGTGAGCGTTCTCCCGGTACCTTTCACAATAGGACTACCTCATAAGGCAAGGCACTGATTAAGCACCAGTTTTGCATATCTGTTGAGTTTTGGGGGCAGACCAATCATTGGTAATGGGTTAAACCAGCTTCTCATGCAGACACACTGTGTGCATGTGTGTGTGTTTCTGTGTCAGTCAATATATATATTGCAATGTGGGGACTAAATATTATTTTAACATTTATTTTGACAATTTTTTCACTCGCCCCAAGGGGGAAATTCAATTTTATAAAAATCTGTGACTGTAATCAAAAAACTAAAAATGCCAAAAGACGTGTATGTTGTTTGGTTACTTATGGTTAAGGTTAGGGCTGGGTAGGGGTTAAGGTTGTCATTGTTGGGATTAGCATTTTGCCCATAGAGATGAATGGACAGTCCCCACAAACATATGAGTATAGGTCTGTGTGTGTGTGTGTGTGTGTGTGTGTGAGAGAGAGAGAGAGAGAGAGAGAGAGAGTGTAAGCGCCAGGAGCAGATAAAGTTACTGTGTTGACAGTAAAGTTCACATTCTCAGCCCCTGAAGCCATATGGTGGATGTTTCTGCTGTTTTGTGCAATTAATAAACAAGGGAATGAAAGTAAATAAACTGGGAGAAATAACAGGGCCATTTGTGTTGAGCCCCTGGCAAATATTTCCTGTTTAGACCACTGTTCAGTCTCACCCTAATCCTCTCTACTTGATGCGCATTCTCAGGGCGCGTGTGTGACCCACCAGGAGGAGCGGGGACAGCCTCCGCAGATTTACAGCTTAACATCCACAGTGGGCCAGTTTTCTGCCCCGATGCCCCGGGAAAGGTGCTTCGCTAGGTCTGTCACAAGACACACAGGGCCACAGCTACATTTATGCAAAGCCGGCTGCTTCGGCAGAGTGTACAGTTACCTTATCTGAATCCAAGGTACAGCTTCACCTGAAGGAACAGCAAAGAACCTTCCAGAAATCCGTTAATAGAATAACATTTGCTTGTACGCATCTGTGAACCTTGATACAGGTCATTATAAGAGGAGCAACGCTTCCCTCGTAGATTGCGGGTCTGGCCGAGCGGGGATAATGGTCACATGACCCCCTAGTCTCCCTCGGTCGCTCCCTTTAACTCTCAGCTGAGGGAATGTGGAGCAGATAATCATTTCATTTCCATAGACCAGTATAAACAGAGCAGCCCAGAACAAAGGCGGGGTCTTTAACCTTTAAGCAATGATTATCAGGTCATTAACGTGAAAGGATATAAGGACATAATGGGCCAGTAAAGATCACTTATTAGTTATAAAAGGGACCAAATGTCCACATAGAGATTTGCAGCTGCAAACATATTCCTATGCACAACCAGCCTGCCTTAGAACATAAAGCTTTGTATTGACACAGTTAAAGTGGGTCAACAGCTTTAACTTGTATAATACTAAGTGTTGATGTTTGATAGATGAATAATTATTAATAAAAATGAAATTACATGAATTTTGTTTTAAATGCTGTGTTTGTCTTCATAATGCAAATTTGTAAACGTGTTACTACATGTTTGATTTAGGGTGAAGTTATGCAAAATAGATACAGATTCCTACCGAATGGTACACTTTAAAAGGCTAATCGATCATTGTTTGAGTTTTTTCTATGTTTCTTTCTTTACTTCAGTCGAGTGCGAGAAGGGAAAAGAGAGGAGAGAGGGAGTGGGGGAGGAGGCAGCAGGATGAATTGGGCGGACACACAAAGTCTACATGTAGCCTCAGATGCCAGAACAGTTAGTGGCTTTCATGTGTGCGCGACGCTGCGCTCCGCAGCTTCTGAGAAAGGAGCCCGGTGGCGTCCCAGTAAGAGCCGCCTCCGCACTCCTCCGCCGGACGGCCATCGGATGGACTTTCGCGGTCATGCGCGAATCACACCGAAAGCACGGTGACTCTCCGGAATACTATTCGGTGGCATCTTCGTGTCACTTCCTACGGTTTTCGGCTTTTTGAACATTTTTTGTTCCTTTTTTCTTGGATTTTTTCTTCTGTTGGAGATTTACAGTTTTGCTCTTTTGTGTGATATAACTAACTTCGATCAGACAATTTACCCATATTCGGACCGCAACTTATGGTAAGAGATTAAACGCACCGACTTGTTTTATTTGCGATGTTTTTTACAACAGCTTGATGAATAAATTTACAGTTGCTCCGCGAAGTATGCATCATTTTGCTTTCTTCAAATGGAAGCCGGTAAACATATATTTCACAGTATCCATAGTAGGTAAACTGGTAATTAAAATGTGTTTAGAAGCTATAATAACTGAGTACATAACTCAAACGCTACTTATATTATTGTAACTGATCTGATCTCAGAAAGGGCTGAGTATTACAATACATAAAGTGCGTAAGGCATTTGGTGCGCAGTTGCGGTGGCGATGTTTTCCTTCGCTGCAGTAAAGTAAAGTTTATTAGAAGATTATGGTTGTCGAAGGCATGCACGTACCTGGACTTTGTCCCATATTCCCCCTCCTTGGCCGGCGATCTCTCAAACACCTGCCCCACGCACCCATTGATTAGGCTGGGTTTCGCCATACAGCCGTTTTGGGATTAGTGAGATTACCTGTCTTTTAGAAGAAAAGGTGCGTTCAGATTGTCTATGTAAACAACCCCTTACTCGGTGCTGACATATTTGTTTCTAATTCACTAATGTAACCCAGCTGCAAAGTTCCCTTTTCCATAAGCGCTCTCGTAGTATTTCGCACGAAAAGGCGAGCACGAAAGCGATGGCCCCGAGTTCATTAAACGACATGAATTATTGACTTTCAGCAAAACAAAGAAAACGGGCAATTATAAATGCTCCCCTGTCCAGAATGTGCTCACCGCCTAGTCACGCAATCTGCTGTAAAAATGTCCATTGTTCATGCGTGGGCTTGCAATTATTGCTTTTTCGTCGGATGAACGAAAGTCCGCAGTTCGGCTAATGACTTTATTCTGATAAAACTGCTGGACTGATATCCGGTCTCATTTCATCTTATTACTGCCTGTCGCAGTTTATTTACAAATGCGTCATTGATGAACAGCACGTAAAAATCCTGTAATCACCTCCTATTTGTTTTACACCAAATTACCTAACTGTAAATAAATAATTGCGTATTACCTAGATATAAATAAATATCTGCCCGATCTATCCGTTGTCCATCGCCAAACTTCGTGCGTGTATGTTGGTTAAGCGGGTGATCGTACCTTTTTTGTGTAGTTTCTGTAGGAAAAGTGTCATCTTTGAATGGACTCGCAGCCATCGCGGCGGACTGGGGCGCACTCGCAGTCCGCCGCTTTCGGCGCATCGGAGACGGTTACTTTGTGCTTCTCAGTTGGAGACCAAAGCAAAGAACTTATGTTCCCAATTTTTCTTAAAAAGCGTTGACCTCGCCGCTAAGTATAACCAGACACTGACAAACATGTCAGTACCTCGTAAGGAGAACAGGTTTTAAACTTAAGCGATTAGATGTCATGACTTACTGTTCGGTCGAAAGCGCGCAAATAAATCCCGCAGAGACTGCTTGCTGGTCCGCGTATTTTTTCGCCATGTAACACAGCAGTTAGTGGAAATTATTTGATCATCATTTTACAACAAGATTAATTTAAATAGACCCAGTTAGATCTGCTGCGTGCGTCTTAATTTGGCTTAAGAAAACAGTTTAGTCTTTTCCGGAAAAAATTAAAAGTATGATTCTCTTGTAAGAGGGACCGCTTCACGTGGACACGAATATCCTTCACTGCACTCTGCTGTGCGAAAATTTAACATGTCTGCTTGTTCAAGCTCATCTTGCAAGACATTGCAGTCCTATCAGATGCTGTAGGTGTGAGGTTGGACAATAGCATAACCAGTTGAAGGGCAAATCGACATTTCATTAATACACTGGACCACATGGTGATGGGTTTGAATCCCTTACTCAGGTCTTCCTGTTGAATCTTTGTGTAGTGTAGTTTATCTGGCACTGTTTACTATGGTGACAAGGCTGGTAATTTGTGGTAAGGGCATTATTCCAAACACACATATTATGTGATCTAATGGAAGCATTACATGACTAAACTTTAACAATTTATCAGCCTATCACCTGGGGGATCTGCTGACAGTAACGACTTCACTTGGGGGGGGGGGGGTACATCAGAGAGCACAGAGTTTCTCATCGTCTCCACTCCAGGGACGGCTGCTGGGGGGGAGGGTGGCACAGTTTAGATAAGTGCACTGGAATTGCTGGTCGACGGTTTGCGATGATATTCAGGCAGGAGTTTTCTGCTGCCCTTTGTTGACAAATGAACCCCCCCATTCGGATGCAGATGGGGGAGGCTGATCAACGGCTCCTCACCATGTGCCATTTTTCCATGGATACTTTTAGGGAGGGAGGGGTAGAGTGGGGGGGGGGGGGGGGATTGTGGTGGTTTTTCTCTCTAGGTTTTTCAGTTGGTCCTTCGGGGTCGTCGCCCCATAGCGGCCAGTGCTGTTCGATGGGATGTCCTTAGGGGAAACTCTGGCCCACAGCTGCCGCCGTTGTTTGGGGTGAGAGATGAGCGGATCCAGATATGAGCTTGAAGCTTAATTGGCCTCACATAACTCTGTGTGTGGCCCTGCGCAGATTTTTATTCGTGACTGGCCTCTGATTCTTGTTCTTTAGTCATACCATTAGGCTTCATTGCACAATCCATTCAGATGTTTCTGTGACCTAAAAATGCTTGAGATTTTTTTTTTTTTTGCCTCTAATTACCGGGGTATGGTCATGTGCGCAGCTTTTTCCAGGAGCAGCAGGTGGCAGAGTGGCTAAGGAGTCCAGTGGATTATACTGGGGAGAAGGATGTGTGTTTATAAGCTGGGATTTTTTTTCTTCCCCGGCAGTGAACTGAATCTGCTTGGAGATGTATTCTGAAGAAATGCTTACAGTGTAAACGGTGTGAGGATCGAAACGACACCTGAGCCCTGAATTGTACGCTAACAATGCGCCGGCCTTTCAAAGACCCGGCTTTGTCCGCTTTAACAAGTATCCCCCTGTGTCTTAGGATCGGGTTCACCCTGACGACCTCGAGCAGCCCCAGGGTGGCGAGTGACGTTTCCTCCAGGATCGCGTCCACGGCCACAGTCTCACAAACATGGACTGTTTCTCCCAACTCTACTTCCTGTCGGTATGTAGACAGGAGCCGTCCGTCTGAGAGCCTGGTCTCTTATACGGCGCGCTTGCCCAGCCCTGCCTGCTCTCCTGAGGCTTCATTGGTGCCCGTGTGTCTGCCTGAGCCTCTTCACCAATCAGGGAGCCATTCTCATGCTCTGTCCTTTTTCTATTCTGCGAGTGAATGATTTGATTGTAGTGCAGGTACAGGGTGTATCTGATCAGAGGCCAGATGACTGTGAAAACAAGACAATAGTTATTGCCAATTGAAGATCCCTGCTGGAGGAGCCATTGTTTCTTTTAAGTGTTTTTTTGCCATACATGTGTGGGGGGTTAAGGGGATTCTCAGATGAGACTCCACCCCCTGTCCACCCTCATCCTTACACCTCACCTCTCCCCCCCCTCCTTGTACCCTCTGACCCAGAGACATCATGGTCGCTGGTAACCGAATGCTGATGGTGCTGTTACTCTGCCAAGCCCTGCTGTGTGAGGGCACGCATGCCAGCCTGGTGCCGGAACTGGGCCGGCGCCGGGTGCTGGGCCTGCAGGGCCGCCTCCCGGAGCAGAACGACGCCGCCCTGCGGGACTTCGAGGCCACGCTGTTGCGCATGTTTGGCCTGCAGTGCCGGCCGCGACCCTCCCGCTCTGCCGTGGTGCCGCAGTACCTGGTGGACCTGTACCACGCACAGTCCGGTGAGGCCGAGCAGCCTGGCCCGCCCGGCGCCACTTTCCAGTACCCCGAGAGGTCCGCTAGCCGCGCCAACACCGTGCGGGCCTTCCATCACCAAGGTAAGGGGGGATGCCGCTGGGATTGGGGCGGGAAACCCAGACATGTTGCAGCGCTCCGTACGCACACTGGGGGGAGCTGACGGGGTCATCATTGTGCGTTTGGACCTGCTGTGATCAAATACTTAAATCCCGACTTCAGTTTGTTCGTCACTCATTATAAGAATTACAATCAGAATCATTATTGCGTCATCTTTAAGGCATAATAGAATCTTTAAAGAAGATATTGAGGGATACATAGTGCAGGATGGAGCCTTTCACAATTCCCCATTTTCGTCTGATAGTTTTCTCTGGGGTGGAATCCTGTGGTGGGATAGGGCCCTGTGGCCAGCCGGCATGAGAGGACCCCCCCCGGTGCTGTGTCGTGCTGGAGGGACACGTACCGTTGTATTACCGAGTCCGGCTCGACTCCACCCAGCTGGAGCACGGAGTCCTGCAGGCCCGGTGCCCCGCTCGCCTGCTATACGCATCTCTGCAGAGGCCTCCCCACCATGTAATTATGTTTAATGGTAGCCCAGTGCAGCCGGCTAAATATGGCCCTCCTGTGCAGCGGCAGCGGCGAGCGGAGCGACCGCTGGCTGGGCCTCCATCGCTGGCGGCTGGGGCACAAGCATCCAGGACACGTGTCTAATCACAAGTGTAATGAGCGGCGTCAAGTGGCAGGGGGCAGCGGTGGGGGGTATCGGGGGAGGGGACGATAGCGCCGCCCTTTCAGGTATACTTGGTACAGCAGGATGATGATATGACAAATATTCACATAGAGTGAATGGAAATTTGTGGATTATATGTACAGTGTCGTTAAAATGCACAATTTTTTTGTAGTTTATACACTGCTCCGTTTTCACACGTGAGAGCATATAAGTGGAGTTTTCGGTCACCGATCTCAACCTGCTTTATCCTCGGTATCAGGCCTGCAGGGCTGAGAGGCCGCTCTTCTCAGAGGGAGGGGTTGTGCCCCCCCATCTCGGTCTCCATGCAGACAGCAGGGGGCTCCAGGGAGACTTCAGCAGCTCTGGCGTCGTCAGGTCGTGGCCGGTAGCCATCACCGATGTTCTTGTCTTACTAGGCAAGGCTAATTGCTGCCTCGCGAGCTGGGGCATTGTTACCGGCCTTTGAGTATCTGTTCCTCCCTCCTTTGAGCCATGGCTTAATGATACCCCATGGCCCATTGTTTTGGCGTCACTGTATCGCGAGGAATTTCGGCACAGCCACCCGACATGCTGCGTGACTCCTGCTCTCTGCAGGCACTCTCACGCCGACTGACACGTGCAGCTGCATGCTTGCAGGAAATCAACCAGCTTAAGAGTCTGTATTCAAGGGTCCACCTTTGTGAACCACCCTTTTGTGGGATTTAGACGAGCTGGCCAGTGATCCGATGACTCGCTGGAGAGCGTGAAGGTGTCTCACACAGACCTGGAGACTCAGAGATATGGGGTCAAGGCAGGGTCTGCGTTACAGGAAGTGGGCAAGACCGGGAGTGGTCTGTTACGGGACGTGGGTGGTGCAGGAAGTGGTCTGTGTTACCGGAGGTGGGTGGTGCAGGAAGTGGTCAGGCTGAGAGTTACTTTGGTGTAAGGGGAGTCCCAGTTAGGAGGCATATTGTGTCCAGAGATGCAGAAGAAGGTGTCGGAATCCAAAGGTAGGTGTAGGCAGCAGCTCTAACGTGTCCCTGCTCTGCCCCCCCCCCAGAGAGCCTGGAGCAGGTGGTGGCAGACGAGTGGGCGGATGTCAGTGGTGACGACTCCCCCCTGCGCTTCGTCTTCAACCTCAGCAGCATCCCGCCAGGGGAGCTGCTCTCGTCGGCAGAGCTGCGGCTGTACCGGCAGCGGATCCCGGGCGCGGAGCTACACAGTGCCGACCAGCGGCGGCACCGCATCAACGTCTATGAGGTGTTGAAGGTGGTGCGGGGCGGCCAGCTGATCACGCGGCTGCTGGACACACGGCTGGTGCAGCACGACACGTCAGGCTGGGAGAGCTTCGACGTGAGCCCTGCCGCGCTGCGCTGGACCCACGAGCACGTGCCCAACCTGGGCCTGGCCGTGGAGGTGCTGCACCTCAACCGCACGGCGGCCCAGCAAGGCCGGCACGTGCGCCTCTCCCGCTCGCTGCACACCACTCCCGAGGAGGACTGGTCTCAGCTGCGCCCCCTGCTGGTCACCTACGGCCATGACGGTAAGGGCCACCCGCTGACACGCCGGAGCAAGCGCAGTGCCAAGCCACGGGGCCGCAAGAAGAACCGCCACTGCCGGCGGCACCCACTTTATGTGGACTTCAGCGACGTGGGTTGGAACGACTGGATTGTGGCCCCGCCTGGCTACCACGCTTTCTACTGCCAGGGCGAGTGCCCGTTCCCGCTGGCGGACCACCTCAACTCTACCAACCACGCCATCGTGCAGACTCTGGTGAACTCGGTGAACTCCAGCGTACCCAAAGCCTGCTGCGTGCCCACGGAACTGAGTGCAATCTCCATGCTGTACCTGGATGAGCACGACAAGGTTGTCCTCAAAAACTACCAGGAGATGGTGGTTGAGGGCTGTGGGTGTCGCTGAGTGAAGGACGCTTCAGTCACAGGCTTGCTGCCGAAATATCTCCACTCGGGCCCTTATTTATAATTAGATGTAAAATTCTTTCGTTTTTTTTTTTTTTTTTGTTGACAATATGATCATATATTTTGACAAAAATATATATATTTATAACTACATATTACAAATAA